CTATTAATATTTTATTCGGCTTCCATCTATGCATTCTTGGACTCTGTAATATTTTGTATCTACGACGTCCAAATTTTTGCCCAATTTGTAGAAAAGCTTCGTATATCCAATACTGAAACATAATAGAAAATAAATATTAGATACGAGTAAACTAAACTACATATAAACTACATATAGATTGGTGAAAAATAAAAGAATAGAAGAACATGCCTGGAATGCAAGTGAATATCCATGTAATTAATATTTACATTCATTTTGCTCATTTTGTTACATTCTCCGTACTCTTTCCAGCTGCGATTCTTGCAGTGAGTTTAATAAAACAAAATATACTCTACGGCCCCATGGATATTCAAGGAAGTCGTTAAGGTGCTCAACAATGCCCAGAGTTCTGTAATCAATGTATCTTCTAGTAGTTTTCAAAACACACTCTACCAACATCACTAGCCCGAGTTTAAATTTATCTTCTTGATGTTCACATAGGTGAAAAGTTTCAAAAAAATTCTCATTCTAATTCTTTTCGTACCATTAAAATATTGATTTCTAAGTCGATCATTATTGAAGTCAATATTAATATATATCTCGTGGCAAGGTAATCCGGTGATGAGACAAAACTCTTGCATACTAAAGAGGGCGAAATGATTATCTAATTTCACCCGGACTTCGTTGTTTTTGCTACAATTTAAAAGTCTCATTATGAATTCATGAACTAATTTGCTACTGAATTGTTGTTCTTCCTCTACTCTATAAATAACTTCATATATAAATCCATGAAAATTACTACACAATAAAGATGCTTGTTGATCTGCATTGATAATCTCTACAAAACCTTTAAGATATTGATAATTTGAAAATTGAGTGATTTTAGAAGAAAACCATTGATTTGGAGATAGTATATATCCCAAATATATCTGCACAAATTATTAAAAAAACACAATTTAATAGTAAAATTTACTTATGAATAAATGGAATTCGAATTTGAAACGGGCATATGTTTAGTGGAGGGTGTTTTTTGGCATTGGTGGGACCACCCCATGGGCGGAGTCTTCTGCAGGAGGAGATCGGATCTCCACGTTGCGCGGAGACTCGTGTCTACGCACAGCGTCGAGACATGACCTGTAAACAGAGATTTTCGGGTAGATTTGCGTGACGAACATGTCTCCCGGCATATCTACGCGTGTGTGGTGTGAAGTGAAATATGATATTACTTAACCTTTTTCAATGATGATTTAGTGTGCAATGAAGGTAATGAAGAAGGTGAACTTTCTTCTTGAGTGAAATGTTTGCAAGTGAAGTGTAAGTCTAAATTGGCAAATGAAATATAAGCGTTGTTGTATTTGTAATAATAATATTTGTAGTTATAAATATCCATTTGCATTTAATTTAACATTTGTTAAATATTCAAAATAATTTTATATTAATAATTATAAAAACACAACCTTTTTTCTTTTCAATTTTAAATATTATATAAAAAAATTGTGCTTGTTATAAGGTATTTTTAATGAAGTAGATGAGCCTTTAATGAAGTAGATGAGTATCTTTAATGAAGAATTGGTGAGTAAATAATGTGAAAATGAAACACCGATTTAAGAAAGCCATTTTTATTGATAATAAAATAAGTCTTACATGGCAATGTACAAGTAGTGTTCTATTATTTACATTTTAACCACACAGAAGATATCAAAATACTTAGAACAACCATTGGACTTCATGAAATGATCGAGTCTTAACTAAAGATTTAACATCATTATGTTGCAATTTGAGGATTAGGTCCGTCAAAAACCTGCCTTCTGCCCAAAAATGCCTCGTTAAAATACAAACTTGCATCTTTTTTTCATCACTTTGTATTAGGATTTGCATTAAAATAATCAAATTAGATTCAATAAAATTTTTCATTATTTGTATCATAAAAAATATAATTGGATATAAGAAAGGCGTATTATTTTTTGGCACAAGTTGGTCAACATAATGGTACTATTTCCATGACCATCTCAGTTACCTCTATAATTTCATATGCTTTCTTTCGTATAGCTTTTGTGTAACCTCATTGATAAGATACATACGTAACAATATTCCGGAATAAGCACAAAAATGCTTAAATAATCCCAGGAATTTTTGCTTTCTTCTGAAATTGAATCAAAAATTAAAAATTAACTTTAAAATCTGACAAATACAAGACGTAATCTTTCAAGAAGTTCACTAATATTCCAACCTTCTCTATTTATATTCTGGCCTTCTGTGGTAGTAAACACCATCCATCGCCAAGTGAAAATAAAAAGGAAACACAACAAGTAAAAAATAAAAATACAGGCTGTGAACACCATGGAGCGCCCAAAACAGGGATCGTACTACCACTACACGCCGCCAATCTCCAATTCCTCTCGAAATTATGTGGTTCTTTGGAAAAAAAGAAAAGAAATCATTTAAAAAAAGGCAATCCATCGGAGGGAAATCGAACAAAAGTAGACAAAAACAAGGAAATCAAGGGTTGAGGATTCTAAATATAGGTTTATGAGGAGAAAGAATGATATAGACGGGAGAAGAAGGGAAAATGCCGATTTAATAGATACCTACGACACGGTAAGAATTTCAGACGATGTCGTTTCGTTTTTATAACCAACATGGGAAAAAATGACGTGAAAATCAAAACAGTTGAATAGAATTGGATACTATTGCATCTTCAGTACTCACAAACTACCTTTTTTATATAGTAGGGATAAAGGTATGGACTAAAGACACAAGATGGACTAATGTTTGAGACAATTTATGCCTATTTTGCTTTTCACTTGTAGAAAGTTGGAATGGCTAGTGGATATTCACAATTAGCTCAACTTGTCGTTTCAATATTTCTAAAAGGACATTAGTCAAAAAATAAAATAATATACACATACACACATAACATCAAACAGGGGCTAAATATGTGAATATTAGATCCACTTTATTAGTCATATTATTTTATGACACACCACGTGTAGATAGAGGTGGCAACGAGTCAAGCCGAGCAAAAGCTCGAGAAAAAAATTAAGGCTCGGCTAGGGCTTTTGCTCGGGTCTCAAACAGGCTGGTCCGAGCTTTTGCTCGGGTTTCAACGGCCCAGTCGATTTTTTATTTTTATATATATAAAATGTGCTGCCTTTAAATAGTAGCTGTCATTTTCTCCCCTTCCATTTCAAATTTTTTTTTTTACACTTGCCTACGGGCCGGCTCGACTCGGCCCAGTTTCCCAAATTGGGCTCAGCCCGAGCTTCGGCTCAATCTATCGAAGCCTCGAGCCGGCTCAGGCTTTTTTTGGGCTGAGCCACGAGTGACCCGAGTGGACAAGCCAAATTGACACCCCTACATGTAGATGATAAAAAAATATTCAACTAAATATATTTACTCTTTAAATTCTAAAATACTCACTATTATGCAATACTTTGAAACTCCGTCCAGACTTTGACTCGAAAATTTAGTGTTGAGAATTGAAAGGTCGGACTGAGGTCAAATCGATTGTAATAAATAAATAAATTAGACACCAATTTGACAAAAGTAAATTAAAACTTTCAAAATAATTAATAGGTAAATAAAACTTTCAATTAATGATTAAATTTGAGTACATTTAGGCCTTGTTTGTTGGAGAATAAAATTAGAATTTTAGTAGTTTTTAATAAAAAATAATGAAATATTTGATTCAAAAGTTGTGGATCACTTGAAATATATTGTTGAAATTAATAATTGACTTTGATTTAAATTAAAATCTTGATTTTAATTCTCACAAATTGGACTTAGGTTTATTTTATCGTATGGCGAATTGTTTATACTAACATATTATTATTATTATTATTATTATTATTATTATTATTATTATTAGTAGTAGTAGTTAAAGGAGGGCGGCACCTCTAGAATTTTATTAATATGCCCTCACTTGTGGTGGAGGAAAACCGTGGTTACATGTGAAAACAATGAAAGCAATAAATAAGGAAGTACTACTTCACTTACAATGAAAACAATAAATAAGGGATGAATGCAAATCCGTAAAAGAGGAAGTACTACTTCCCTTACAATAATTTCAATTATGAAAAGAGAAAAGAAGGCAAATTACATTTATCTAAACGGACGCAACCAATTGTATGAATCAGGAAGCTATAGATTGATTCTAAGAAATCAGAATGACATTGAGCTCCAAGACGTGCTAAAGAGTCTGCTGCCTGGTTTGCTTCTCGAAAAACATGTGATATGTTAATAGATATAACATGAGCAAGCTCCAAAATGTCTTCCCAAATAAGACGAACAAACCAAGACATGTTAACATGATTATGAAACCAGTGGACCACTACATTAGAATCTGTTTCTATAGAGTATTTGGAGGCCTATCTTAAGAGTTGATACCTCCGCTAAAGTGTTAGTACCAACGCCAAGATAGTGATATAATCCAAAAATTACATTCCCTTGCCAATCCCGAAGCAATCCACCACAACCAGACGGGCCTGGATTTTCAACACTGGCCCCATCAATATTAAGTTTATAACAGCCATGTTTATGAGGGGACAATTTGACAAGAAATGGGGTTTTAACCCGAATTGGTACCAAAGGGATGTGAAGAACCTCAGAAAAATAGGAAGAATGTGACAATATTTTTGGTTTAAGAAAACCATTCAATTCATGAAGCCAACTTTTNTCTTTTTTTTTTTTTTTTTTTTGTATCGATCGATCTAATTTTCATAAACTACTATTATTTATAGGGAAAATTGCAGCCACGGTACTAAACCATTCAATTTTTTGCAGACTTTGTCCAAACCTTTGTTTTGTGCCAGCCACGGTACCAAACCTTTAAAAAACTCGCACTGGAGGTCCGAATGGACGGAAACCGCGAGTTTGACTGTTAGTTGACTTCAAAAAATTATTTTGACCAAATCAACAAATTGTAAAATGATAACTACATAATTTTAACATAAAAAAAGGAAAATAATAAAGGCAACACTATTCACCTTCTTCACAAACCACCCCCACCCCACTCCACTCCACTAAACGCCATTGGCCGCCACTGCCGACCACCACTTTTCGCCACCAACGATGGAATCACCTCCCAACAATCTCAGTCTTTGTCTGCAATAGTCAGTTTGTATCATAATAATCAATTGGGCCAACGATTTTGCACGATAAATGGGTAAGAAAGATTACTGCGTACATTGAGGAAGGAATTGCATATTCTCTGAAAGAGAGAGCCATTTGGAAGCCTTTCAAGAGGAGAAGCTTGAGCTTCTTCTTGCTTTTGGATGTTGCAGTGGTATATATGTGAAGAAGTGTAATCAAATCCCCAAAACGAAGGATATTGTGAAGTGCCCATTGGAGTGCAGTTCTTGCCGCATCCACTCCTTCGACAACCACCACTATTTTTCGAGCATCCATTCCCCCTCCGCCCCACCTCTCGCTTTATAATCCTCTGAAATCCTAGTCTCCATTCCCTCACTTGTACAAAAGGGTTTCAGGAATTTTCTTGGTGTTATCTTTCTGGGTTTTCTAAATCGTAGCTCTAAACAAAAGTAGATTTTAGCTTTACTCTCAATTTCTGATCCGCATTGTTCTGCTTTTGGGTGTTCTTTTAAGAATTCAGCTGAATTTGTGTTTATTTTTCGCTTAATTTGAGGTTCGGATTTGCATTGGAAACATTAAATTTCAAGGGATTTTAATCTTAAAATCTGGGCTCCATTTGATTCGCGAGGAGTGTACTGCAGCTTTTAAGACCGTAGTGTTGGGAGGTGAGTCTGCCGTTGGTGGCGGAAAGTGGTGGTCGGTTGTGGCGGCCAATGGCGTTTGGTGGAGTGGAGTGGGGTTGGGGGGTTTGTGAAGAAGGTTAATAGTATTGCCTTTTTTTATACTAAAATTATGTAGTTACCATTTTACCATTTGTTGATTTGATCAAAATAATTTTTTAAGTCCACTAACAGTCAAACTCATGGTTTCCATCCATTCGGACATTCGGTGCGTGTTTTTTAAAGATTTGGTACCGTGACTAGTACAAAATAAAGGTTTAGACAAAATCTGTAAAAAAAGTGAAAGATTTGATATCTAGGCTGTAATTTTCCCTTATTTATAATGTGTTCTTAAAAATAATTAAGTAAATTATACGTGTAAAAGGGAAAAATTCGTACGTTGTGTGACATAAGAAATATTATTGGCAGTAAAATAATTTAAAGTCTGGATGAAGCTTGTAATTTGAACTAATAAGGTCAGAATAACATAGTACTTACAGTGCAGAGAGCAATAGATATCGCGAGGGAGAAAAGATAAGATATTGGCCTTTTTGTTGTTTCTACTGTCGAGTTGTGTCCATTGGTCCGAATGTTGGAAGCATGGAGGCAAAAAGCAAAGGCCAAGAATGGCGGCACAATAATTTCCAAAATCAACCTTAGCCTTCGTTAAAACCCATAAATTTCTCTCTCGCATGTGCTCTAGTCTGATAAAGAAAAAAGACCCAAGAGCTGAGAATTACGTCTTGAAAAAGTTGATCTTAAAGGGATATGGAAAACGGTGTTAATGGCGGCGGCGGTTCAGTGGTTGCAAAAAATTTACCGCCTTTCAACATTTTTTCTCCTTCTGACACCCATAGCACCGCCTCCAAATCCACAGGTAATTCCTTTCCTTTGTTTTTGCTCTGTGTGTGTGTATCAAAATATGATTTCGTTTTTCGTGTGAGCCCAGATGGGAATGGGATGGCAGCAAGCCGGGGGTTTCCTTTCACATCTGCTCAAAGAAAGGAGCTTGATAGACAAGCTATGATTTATAAGTACATGATGGCCTCTATGCCTGTACCCGCTGATCTTCTCTTTCCTACGGCGTCAAATCCTTCAATTTTCTGTAAATTGGCTCTTGGATGATTTATTCTTTTACACTTGATTTGATGTGGGTTTTCAGATTTTAAAAACAAATTTTTCTCGATTTTGGTGTTTGATTGCAGTGACTGGTGGAGATCCTCATCTTGAAAGGTGCAAAAGAACAGATGGCAAGAAATGGAGGTGCTCAAGAGATGTGGTGCCTCATCATAAGTACTGTGAGCGCCACCTGCAGAAAAGCCGTCCCCGTTCAAGAAAGCCTGTGGAACTCAAAAACAATGGCAATAATAAGAAGAAAAGCCCTCTTTTTTATAATCCTAAAATTGATATAAGTACTATTTCTACATCCTCTAGTAAGAAATATGAGAGGTTGGTTTTTGTCTAGTTGCTCTAGTTTGTGTTGAATTATTGATTTGTTTTTCTGTTTGGTTGTTTACTGAATTTGGATAATGATAGAAGGGGTTCGGCGTCGATGGAAGGTGGGATAGCTGCAGGGCGACAATGGCAGCATTTGGTGGATGCGAGCGTTGGATTTGGGGATGAGGGCTCGATTTATAGTTCTATTGCCTCTGTTTTTCATCGAGATTATGTACAACAGCAGCCATTGAATATGTTTTCTTACACAAATTTTCCAGCTTCCGAAGGTGTTTTTAAGTGCAGTAGTGGTAGTGAATCCAACACTGGAGCATTTTTTAATCCTGATTTGGGGTTTTTGGACAAACAGCCACAGAATGAGACCTCAAGAGGATTTATTGATGCATGGTCTAATGATTATTTCAACAGTAACAATGAGAATGGCAATTTTGAATCCTCTTTTATATCTGCACAAGGGAACCTCTCGACTTGTTCACTCGATCTATCAATGGCCATGGCTGCTGGAAACGTCTTGGATGAAGAAATGAGAAAGAATCAAGTGGAGCGTGGTGTTGATGATTCTGATGGCGATTCAAGATTGTTAAGCCCTGTTTCTTGGATGCGTTTTGCTCAGGGTGGACCGCTTGCTGAGGCTTTAGGATCTGGATCTGTAGCTGGAGATGGAGGAGGAGGCTCAAATCCAGCTTCTCCCTATGATTCAATAAGCACCCCAGCAACTAATGTTTCATCGCCATCTGGTGTCCTTCATTGGACACTGTTTTCGCACTCTGATATCAGCGTTTGCAATAGCCCAACAACTCTTGCAGCAGCTCCGACAGCTACACAAGAAGGTTTTGCATTCCAGCATCTCAGTTAGGCTGATAAGAAAAGAAGCCAACCAAAAATGTCTTGATTTTGGGCTGTTAGATATTTTCAATTATCTATTGCCTTTTTACTTGGTTTGAGGATTCTAGCTCAGATGAATTTATCAGAACTGAATGAATGCATAGTGTAGAGGAGTTGTTTACTGTTCTAAATTAATCAAATTTAGGTTACTTGGGAATGATCTCTAGACTTTAATAATCCCATCAGTACTGTATTGGGAATATATTCCATTTACGTTGGCCTGATTTTTAAACCAGACAACAAACAAATATCTCGTACATCAAAGAGTAGAAGGCATGACCAGAATTTTTTGGTGAAATAAGTGAATTTTTCTAGGAGGCATTCTGCTCAATGTCTTAGTCGGGAAGGAACTTATAAGGTCAAATACCAAAAAATTTAAGCTCTTTGTATCTGGCATTAGTGTTTGTCTTCGTCCTTTTCCCATTAAAAAAATTGACCATGCGAACAAATGAATCATCTTAGAATAGGGCTAAGCGATCACAATAAGTTTGTTAGATGACGAAACATTAAACCTGCAAGTGAGTTCATAAACACGTGCCTAGATACATAGGCTTGTTGAATTCCCATTGGACGAGTACTAAGACCAGCGTATAGTGCTAAAAATAGAAGTTCACATAAATGATTTGACTTGATAGACTTAAAAGTGTCGACTTATCTCAAATATTTTAACTGAATACTCGATACAACCGAACGTGGTACCAATGGGATGATGCTGTATTGCCAACCACAGAAAAATACCGCTTATAACTTCGTATTTACCATTTTAAGTTAAGCCTCTATTTGACATATATTCTTTCAAAACTCATTTCCAACCACACATTTTTCAATAAAATAATATTTTTCATCACAATAACTTTTCATTACTTTTTAACCATATATTTCTCATCATATCACTATTTAAAATACATTCTTTTCTCAATAATATCCATCAAAGACCCCTTAAATTTTTTATAAATAATGTCATTGTAAAATTGAGAATACTTGAGGCAATAAATGAGTGTAACAGATTATATAAAAAAACCACCTACTAAGAAAACTGTTTGGCTTTCAATTGTCACCCAGTTGATTCTCAATACTCCATAAATCATTCGTGCCACTGTCAACACAACAGATATCCAGTAAAAGGAGACAATAAAGAAGTCCATAATCAGCATAGAAAAGTTGTGATTTTGTGAACAAGTTTTTTAACTTAAGTTAGAAGCATGGAACAGTATTAGTACATCGAGGCACTGCTCAAATTCAACATGAATGACCTGACTTACAACTCCACAAAAAGTCCTCAACAAGCTAAAACGACAACCATAAATACCCATTGCAGGTGACATAGAGAGCCGGAATGCAACCAAGAAGAACTGAAAATGTAAATGACACAAAGTACCTTAAAAGGAACCATGTACATGTAAGAAAAGTGGTTTGAAATAAAGACATAATGCTAATTTTGAGTTGACTTCATTCGAGTCGAACTAAATGAGTGGGAAGCCTGTGGTTCAGACCACTATGTACAATAGATAGTTCTAGCCACATCTCGTTTCCAATTGCACATTAGCTGCCAGCAGCAGAGAAAACCAAACATTAGTTTGCTAATCTTTAGCTGATTCAAGTTTAACGTGTGTCCAACTAAATAAAGATAGTAATGAATTCCTCAACCTTGGAAATAAGGTTGAATTAACAGGTACAATTGCAGTTCTGAAAGGCAGCACTCTATTCTTCAACCTTGGAAAGAAGATCGAAATAACAAGTGCAATTTTAGTTTGGAAAGGTAGCACTCTCACAGGATGACATCCCAACGTTGTTCCAGCCAAACTCGGAGCATTCCTTGCCCATTTGAAAGTCACGTGAGAGTCCCAGAAACAATGCTATATGATATGACCCCAGGATGCACTAAGTTAAACAACCAAATGAACATGTCAATCACATACCCCCATCAGTTCAAATACCTAATATAACATAAACCAGGAAACCCTAAATTCTTTTTACCTGATGAGGGACCGACCTATGGCAGATGCTTACACCTTCCACCTAATTGCCATTTCTCTCAGTGCGTGCTTTTTCAGCAGTTAATCCTCCTCTTCGCATGACCATAGTTATTTTTCTTCTATACGCAGATACGAACAAAACCATCAGCAAAATCAAATACCATCCACAAATATACACAAATACAGAAAAAGTTAAAATTGATCTATTATTAAATAAAAATAAATATAAATACACAAACTCTGATTTTTGTTGTTCTTTATCCAACACAACAATCTTAATAGTCCTATAACACTGCTGATCATATTTGATCTAAACCCAATCAAGGTAATAGGCATAAGA